GCCCCCCCCCCGTGGCAGGGAGGGCTGAGCGGCTTATAGCCGCTGGCTGGCCAAGCCTTCTCCCGCCCCCTTTCTGTCCCTGGCGGCGGCAGCTGTACTTTTGGGGGGATTTAAATATTTAAATATCCCCACATTTTTTTTTCCAAGTTTTCAGATTTTTCTGCACATCTGGGTATTGCCCCAAATGTGCAGGGAAATCTCCCTGCCCCCCAAGTGCCCCCTGAGATGTGGATTTAGATATCCACACGGAGGGGGCATGTTGGGAATTAGATATATAGATTACTACAAACAATATGTATAACCTAAGTAATATCAAAAATACATGTATTTATCGTCAGTGGGTTAAGAACAGTTATGGGCCCAAGTGTAGCACTACACACCATTTATGGTACATGGGCTCTGATCAGTTGTTTGCACCTGCATTTTCTGGACCAAGATCAGAAGGCATACAATAGCAACATTACTCAGCGCGTATGCATCTGACAGTGGCACAAGGCTAGACTCTAGGAGGCCTCATGAGCATTCTCATGCCTTGTGTAAATTGATCTTCGTTATAAAACTTCTTTTTCGGTCCCACATCGACTTGTGAAGTGTTTTACTATTGTATCGTGAGCTGTTATGTACAGAAATTGCTTGACCACTGAGGAAGGCCTATTGGGGTCACAACAGTTCCTACTTGTGTATATTGTATTTTTATTCTGTAATGAGGCTACAGTTGGGCCCATAACTGTTTTTAACCCTTTGACAATAAATACATGTATTTTTGATATTTTTGGAACTGATCTCTGTTGTAATCCCACGCAGGGCTAAATGAGATGCAACGGATTTTTGAAAAACAGCTGTAAGGGTCCCCCAAGCCAGACTAGGCCCACTGTCCCAGGAATGGGTGCCTGTATTCTCCCTAAGGAGCAAATCGCTTTTGGGCATGCCTATCAGGAAAATGATACTGGGGGGGAGGGTTAGCTGCTCACACCCCCAGCCCCAATCTGAATAAATCCTTTCCCCCCCACAGTTCCTTTTAAAAAGCCACACGGGATAGCCGTTAACGGCTCCCTTGCTATCTCCTTTGGCTCTTATTTCAAAATAGTGAAGAGCTGGAACTTTGCGGGCCCACTTTACAGAGGAGGACTTTTCTGGAACACTATATCCAACTTCGGTCACTTTGGTATCCAAAGGAGAACTCCGTCCTTCATCCAAGACAAAGAAGAAAACCTGGCTGACTGGGGGTCAGTTACCTGACCGTCGCCTGGAGATGCAGAAACTCACAGAGATGCTGGTTGCCTAGCAACCGAGGCCCTCCCCAGCCTCACCTTCTCTCTGCTTGGCCTGCCAGCCCTTCTTGGGCTCTAACTCCTTCTTGCCGATAGGCTGGGTTTCTTCCAAAATGGCCTCTTCAAGCTCCACCTCATCAGAGAAATCTGTTCAGGCAGGACAAAAAAAAGACAGACAAGTCCTGAAGAAAAGCAGGAGGACACTGGTGGTAGGAATCAGGACCAGTAATTAATTTCCAGAGAAAGAAGCGCTGGGCCTCACACCACCTCATCCTCTGACTGGACTATCCTGCTCGTGGTGTGAGTTTGAGCTGTGATGACTCAGTGATGAGGAGAGTGTGTTCTGTTCATGCTCAAAGATACTCTTGTTACTAGTTCAGTTCAGTTTTTATAATGACCCACAGGCAGTGTTCCCTCTAAGCTGAGTTAGTGTGAGCGAGCTCACAGTTTTTTAGCCTCCGGCTCACACATTTTTGTCTTCGCTCAGGAAGGATGGCTCCAGAGCAAACTCATTCATGCCGTAGCCAAATCACTCCCTCACCACTTTAATGCCAGTAGCTCACAAAGTAGAATTTAAGCTCACAAGACTCCACAGCTTAGAGGGAGCACTGCCCACAGGCCATTATCGTTGCCAGCCCGGGGCTGGGAAAGTCCTGGAGGTTTTGGGGGTATATCCTGGGGAAGGAGCTCAGCAGGATATAATGCCACAGAATCCACCCTCCAAAGTAGCCATTTTCTTTAGGGAAACTGATCTCTGTCATCTGAAGATGAGGTGAAAATCCAGGAGACCTCCGGACCCCATCTGGAGGGTGGCCACCAATATTCCCTCTAAGCTGTGGAGTCTTGTAAGCAAAAATTCTACTTTGTGAGCTACTGGCATTAAAACTGTGAGCGAGTGATTGGGCACCTGCATAAATTAGTTTGCTCTGGAGCCCTCCTTCCTGAGCTAAGACAAAAATGTGTGAGCCGGAGGCTAAAAAACGGTGAGCCGGCTCACACTAACTCAGCTTAGAGGGAACACTGGTGGCCACCCTACAGGCCACTCAGAAACAGAATGAAACACCTAAGAAAATTAGTAACCTACATAAAATCTCAGCATAGATCATTCATTTTAAAATAATTAACAGCTGAAGGGTTAGAATCTGAGTAGATTCTACACAGGGCATTAACTCGGCCTATATTTTCCTCACAGAGAACAGAAACAGCCACAGATAACGGTAGCTCTTTGGTCAGCCCTGGCCAGTAAGAGTTTGAGAGACTTCTGTTCAGAGAACAGTTTTTTGTCAACCAAGCCGGGTTCCAATAGATCCAATCTGTTACTACCTCTTTTAGGAGTTTATTATTAGGGTCAAACCACATGTTATGTCTGCTCTGTGATTGTTATACCACAGCTGCAAGTCTCCTATTAGAACTCAATTGACAAATGCTGCAGGAGCCCAATTCTGATCGAGACCATGTCACAGAGGGAAGAGGGGTTCCTGCCTGCTGCACCATTTTCCTGACTTGAAACAGCACTGCTGGTGGAGGGGGGCAATGTTCCCTCTAAGCGCCACAGTGTTGTAAGCTGAAATTCTACCTTGTGAGCCAAAAAAGCTAGTAGCATTAAAGTTGTGAGTGAGTCTACATTTGATTATCGCATAAATTAGTTTTTTAGAAGATTATTTCCATAACCTTGTAAAATTCTCAGAATAAATTCTTTTAAATTATATTTAAACTATATTTTATGAATAAACATTATAAGAGAAAACAGAATCAAGTCAAATCTCACCCACCCATTCCCACTATATTGGTAGACCTGTCCTCCGGAGAACAGGTCTACCCGTCCCATTCCATCCGTCCTCCGGAGAACAAGTCTACGCACCCCTTTCCACTATATTGGTAGACCTGGCCTTGAACTGTTACACTGCACTGAGCCTTAGTAAATATACCAGCACTGGGGGTGGGTGGGGGGTGGGGGGGACTCTTGTAGTATACTTTTGAGTTTTTTTAGTGAAATATGACAACCAACATTGTCAAGTATAAAAGAGGTGGAACAATCTATGTCAGAACCCTGCCTAATCTAACAGGAAGTGTCTTCAACCTGCCCAAACTATTCAAATATTTATATCCCAATTTTCCATGTGACTCAGGGCAGCTTACGAATCATACTGAAAAGCATAATAGGGGTATGCAAAATAAATAAATAAATTGCTTTCTTCCAGCTCCATTATAGCCTATGGAGACCATTATAGTCAATGGGCCCCATAGGCTATAATGGAGAATTGATCTGGGGGAGCTATCTTTTGAGGCAGAGGTACCAGATTTTCAGCACAGCAAATGGTGCCACTCCTCAAACCTTTCCCCAAGTTTCAAAAAGATTGAACCAGAGAGTCCAGTTCTATGAGCCCGAGAAGGAGGTGCCCCCATCCTCAATTGTTTCCAATGGAGGGAAAAAATTTTCTCAGTTCACTTGAAGGCTGAGCTGCCAGCTAAGTTCCCTGTCCTGCCAGCTAAAATGTTGTGCACCAGAACCCCCTAGCACAGCTTAGAGGGAACTTTGGAGGGGGAGGCATAATTTGCCATCAGGAGGCTACAACATGCTCTGAATGCTTCACAACAGGGCAAATAATGTACCCCTCCCTGCTGTTTCAGATTGTGGAAGTGGTGTAGGAGGAGACAGAAGCCCTCCTCCCTGCAATATGGGTCCAACCGGAACTGGGCCCCTACAGCATCCCATGCGGAACTTACAGATGGCCTCCTGCTGCAAGTCCCCGAGTTGATCAGGTGGCAGCTGTAATATGTAGGTTGGCCCTTATTACAAAACTAGCTAAACTCTGGCATTAAATTTCCTTTGGGATGCCTGCAGTTTACTAGTGTGACTGGGGATTTTAATGAGGCCAAGAAAGGGACTGAGTGCCAGCAAGCCCTTTGATAGGGATCTGAGACCCAAGGAAGGTAAAACGCTTATGAAATCCTTTCCTGCAACCTCCCAGCCACATTTCTCATCAAGCTACCTGACACAACAATCAGACAAGAGCTTCTGATCTGGCCCTTGGGTCTTCTGAGTCCTCTCCTGACTTTATAAATATTTTGGGAATTTGGGTTCTTCGATTGCTCTGGGTGTGGCAATAGTTGAGAATATGACTCCTGTGTTCTCTAAGAAGAGATTAAGTCTTGAGGATTAAGATCCCACCATCTTCAACTTTTTCAGACTTGGAGCTCACCAAGCTGAAAGCATGTGGCAGGAAATCATGGGATGTCAGACAGGAAGAAGAGCCAGTGCTATGACCTAAAACAGAGATGTTGAACTCATTTGTTACAAGGGCTGCATCTGACATAAATGTCACTGTTGGGCTGGACCATGTGTGCTATAAAATGTAATGCTAGGTATGGGAGATATAAACTTTGTAAAGGACACAGGCAAACCCAATTAACAATATGATTTTTTTTCACTCAAAATACAAACATGTTTTAAATAAACTCCTAAAAGAGGTAGTAAAACTCTTACAATATTTCCTTAAAGTATCTCCCTGGTGCCCACCCTCCCACTTCTACTGCCCATGACTCATTAGCGCTGGGACAGTAGAAAGGGGCATAATGCATAACCTCATTCATCTGGCAATAGAGGTAATAACCAGTTGTTCATGGGCCGGATAAGAGCCCTGGACGGGCCAGTTCTGTCCCATGGGCCATATGTTTGACACCCCTGGCCTAAAACGATGGTGGGGAGGTCTCTATGCTGCAAGTATGCATGGAGCACTGGAGGACTGACTTGAGGTGGAGGGAGGTAGCAAAGGAGATTTGGGGGTGGGAGACTCTGGACCTGCCTTTGCTTAAAAGGAATCCTCTTCATCCCTGTGTGATCTTGCTTTGCTGTCCTCCCACTCCTCTCAGCAGGTGGACAAAGAGAGGAAGGAGCCATAGTGGCTCATGGGTACAATCTGCTTGGCATGCAGAAGATTCCAGTTTCAATCCCCCCAATCTCCAGTTCAAAAGGCCAGGTAGGAGGTGATGTGAGAGACCTCAGCCCGAGACCCTGGAGAGCAGCTGCCAGTCTGAATAGACAGTACTGATCTTGATGGACCAACTGTCTGATTCAGTATAAGGCAGCTTCATGTGTTCCTGTTACTCTTAACGTAGCCAAGGAGGCTGCATGACATACCTGAGGAGCATGCTGAAGACTGCTGGATTGGATTGTCGTGGAGACGGGTCTGTGAAAGGAGCTGTAGGGTGTGTGTGTGTGTGGGGGGGTGAGGTTTGCCAGCCTAGGACTTGCTGTTACCTGCACTTTCTCCTTGGCCGTTGTGGATCCGATTCACTTGCTTAGAGCTGCTCCATGGGTGAATGCCAAAGTGAGCCTCTGGGACAGATTCCACAAGGAAAGGATTGTTTGTACCTTTGGGAAGGAGAGATGGAAGGATAGTTAGGCACGTTGTGTGTATGACCTACCCACCCTCTCCTGTTTAGCTGAGGTGGGAAATCTCTGGTCCAAAACACAAGGGTCTTGAGTGATCTGAGTTTAAATCCCAATTCAGCCCCAGCTCAGGCACACCAATCGCAGTGGAGAAGTTATAGTGCAATCACATGGACTGAAAAGGGGGCTTTCCACATCATGGTAGCAATTTTTGCCACTATGGTGCTACGTTCTTTTATGTAACACCATTGTGCCAATGTGCCTCCCATGTGAAGGGGAGGGAACAGATATTACTAAATCAGATGGTGTCCACCTAAGTTGGCAATGCCAAGTTCCGAAATTCCTGGAGATTTGGGGTTTGTGG